ATAAAAAATCCCGATTTTCGACTAAGAAAAAATGTCGTAGTATGCCCTGAAACTTTAATAAACATTTCAAATTGTGTTCCAAGGTAGACCTTTCAGTACTTGACATTTACAAAAAAAATTATTAAAATCGATTTACAACTTCAAATTTTAGGGGGGTGTTTCCATAAAAAATGGGTCACACTGTATAAATATAATGTGGCTCAAATACATTTTTGTTGTTAATCTCCAACAGTTTCATGACATATTTTAGAGAATAACTCAATTGTTACAATGTTGTTTTCAACTGTACTTCCGTCCTAATCTTCGAGATCAATGAAAATATTCACAGACTCTCTTCAAGCAATCGCCGGTCGCAAAGAAATAACAACCTTCATAACAGAAGTGACTCTCAGAAGTTCAAACATACGCGAGTAAAGAATAATGAGGTGTTACATTCCCATATCTGATTCCTAGTCCTAGATGTACCCTATAATGTGTTCTTAGTTAGGTGAATTATATTGGATACCAACATATGTGGCAGAAATTGACCTGGCACTCAATAAATTACAGTCTACGAATATTAATAATACACTGATATAATTAAATGTTTTTTTTGTTTAAGGTGTTACCAGATAAGTCGTGTGATATAGATATAGAGAAAACATTGGGAACTCTGCTCAATCCTCAAGATAATCCTTCCATACAAGTTAGAGCCTTGCAAATTGAACTACTGAAAAAACTAGAGGAAGCGGCAGAAAAACAGGAGGAAGATGAAAACAAAAGAGCTCTCGTTGCATTAGCCAAGTATAATGATTTACCGGAACATAAGCGGAATTTAGAAGCTCTTGCAAGAGCAGGATATATAAAAACATTACCAGATGAAGAAGATGCGGATGCTAACTACAAAAGAAGTATTGCAAATCTGGCAAAAAATGGGCAGCTGCCAACTCGGAAAGAAGATCAAAAGCGTGGTAAGCTAAATGAAATCATTTCATATCAGAGAAACGAAAAGATTTTTGATGATCACAATTATAATTACTGTAGCGTCTCCTGCAACGTGAAAAGCCTCAAGTAGATAAATGTGACCGATAAATGTTATGGGTAGCAGAATAATTGTCTTTTCGTTTACTTCACTTCAACGCAATGGAACAAAAAACACAATTCTGATGTTCAAAACGGATTTGAACATTTCTTGATATCTTTGTTCATTTCTCAGATATCCGTACTGACAACTTTTGAATTTGACATGTTGTGTATGGTGACAAATCACCTCCAATACTGTATTGAGAATCATAAGCATAATAAAAATATTCCATATATTTCCCAACCTCGACTCAGGTAATTTTCAGTGAACGAGTAATCGTTGAGTCTGGCATACGAATATGTACAGCTAATCAAATTTAGGAAGAGACTTGAGAAATCTTTTTCACTCTTTTCTTTCTCTCTCATTCTCACTGTCTTAAAACGAATGCAGAATGGGCGGGGTCCTTAACGAAATTCAGAAAGCTCTTCCTACATTTGACAAGCTGTATGTCACCATATTTGTTGGTTGTTGTTTTGTTGGAAATTTGCCATTAATTTTGTTAATGTCATCCTGAAGGTGAATGAAAAGGAGGACGTATTCAGAAATATCAATAATAACTTAAATTATTGGGATCATTTATAGAAGTTCGTTACAAATATAAGTCGAAAGAAAAAGTATATTTCAAACAACTACTTTCGCTAGTGAAATAAAAATTTCAATTATTCACAAAAAGCATAAT